AAGGCTCGGCATTTCTGAGGCTGGAAGTTAGTAACGAGTACCAAGTATTATAGACTTAAAGCGCTTTGTTTGAGTTAATAAATGGGAAAGTGTATTTATTTTTAAACCAAATACAGTTAGTTGTCAGTATACAATTTTTTTGCTGTGATAGAATAAATGTTTACTTATCCTACAAAGCACAAATATCATGACAGAGTTGTAACAGTGTGATGCAGTTTCTCTGTACAGTAGTTCTTCATGTTGCAATTTATTCAGAAATAAATTTGTGTTACAACGTGTGTGCTCTTTGCCTTCCTAAGAAGTTCGCGAACGTGCTGTGGGTTTTCTGACCTATTAAACCGTGTTTGCCTGCCATCCCTGTACCTCCGCAAAGCTCTGCTTCCGAATGAAAAAAATCTGACCCATGGCCCTAACCTGGAGCAAGCGCCAGGTCTTACCTCAGAACCCAAGCTACGGCTTTGCTCAGGTTCCACAATTCGTTCGAGTGATACAAGGCTAATCGTAACGTTCTTAGTACCGCAGCAAAATAAAGAGGAATTACACGTTCGTTGCCGAGAATTAACCCCCGAGTAACTCCCAACATACCAAATCCCTCACTCTGGCTGCTTTCAGTACCTGCAAAAGCGGGCAGGGGGGTGGGGAGACAGAAGTTCAGGAGTTTCTTCTGCCTGTTTAAGTTTGCACAGCTATTTACTGCCCTCCCGCCTGAGTAGAAATAAAGGTATTTCTACTGCTAAACAGAAAAGGAAACCAACACTTAGCTGAGTAAATCAGAACGGGACTTGTCCACCATTAAAAAAGGCTGAAAAAAAATTAAAGTCAACTTTAATTGCACATAAATGAGAACTCCATACCACATACAATTTTAGGTAAAAAAATCTCAGGGTAAAGTATGTGCCGTTCAGCCTCTCTGTATACGTGAGCGCGATGCAGGCGGTTAATATCCCGAGGGTGTGGGGAGGGTGGCAGCTCACTGTCTTTCCCAATACAAAAGCTGGGACCCAACAAACGAAACTCATACAAGCCGGACTCAAAGCAAACAACAAGAGAGGACGGAAAACTTGTACACAGGTTCCAGCGGGAGCTGGATAGGTGCTCGAGAGAGATGCACCACAGTTTACTGAATCAGACAAACCCCACGAGCCTCAGGAGCCGCCCCGGCCGTCAGAGGCCACCCGCGGGAGCGGCAGACGTTTGCCTCAGCACCTGCTGCAGCGCTGGCCCCAGCCGGGGCTGCCCCGCGCACCTTCTTCCTCTGCTCCAGGGAAAGGTGCCTTCCACCCTGGGCTTGACTCCACCACCCGCCTCACGAAGAGCAGAATTTGGCCTGTAGAGACGTCAGTTCAAACACAGGAGAATCACCTATTGAAAAACAAGTGTTTAAAACCTTCATTTTTAGCTTGGTTTTGCTGAGGGTGCTTTTAATGTTGGGATCATTAGAAGTTGAAAAACTATAATCTTCCTCCATTTTGTCAGAACATTGAAGATTTTCATAGTGTCTTCAAGTAAATTAACCGTTTTATTGTGGTCTATGATAAAAATGGTCACCTGCTTACAGTTGTCCTATTAAATTCAGCAGGTAACTTTTCTGGAGAGGCCGATTTTACTGTTTCTCTCATGCAGTTCCCTGCAGAGCTGCGTGACAGACGAGCATAGGAACGTCACCGTGAATCCTGCACTCTGACTTTCAAAACGTCAGGGGGAAAAAACCCACCACTCCATTGAAATAAAGAGCCCACATGAGCTACTTAACAAATAACACAGATTCCAGCCGAGAAGGAAAGCACATCCATACTAGCCAATTTAAGAACTTCAGTTCAAGCCAGAGCCATTCCTAAGCCGTCGCTAAGTACGAGCGGACTCGTAACGCCACTGCTTCAATTTTTCAAACCCACCCTAAAGCCAGTCACCACGAGGAACAGGCCCTCAGAAAGCAACTTGCAGCTGTACAGCATTTAGCAGGACAGACAGTTAAATTAGACAGCTGGACCATCAAGCTAATTAAAACAATTTGCAGTGAAGACGGGTCTGGCTGACGGATACTGTGCCCTCCCCTCCCAGCTTCAGCTGAGAAGTAGACAGTAAAGTGCAGCAAACTGGAAAATATAACCAAGCAGGATATATTTCATATCCTTTCACTAACTACCCAGGAAATGCAAGTGATCACACGGAAGGAGCCGAAAAAGAAATTCTCACCAAATGTCACTTTTAAAACATGAGTGGGAATGAGTATTATTACCCTCACCTATTCAGAAAAGAATCTGAATCTCAAGAGACACAAAAGGAGTCCGAGTACCCATCGTATGCTTACATGGAAATCCTCGTCCTTGTCTTGTAAAACGCGTGTTCTGTCCCGGGGAAGTTACACGATACAAGCTAAGGGCTTCCTTCCCAGAAAAACAAACTTGTATATTCACAGAGGTATACACTGGAAGGATTCAGAGGTCTAAAGGACAGAAACAATACAGCAAATCCGATTTCCGCTGGGAGAGCCCTTACTAAAGCACGCTTCAGGAGTCTCCCGAGGTAATCCTTTTCAACAAGGTCACAGTGAATCGAGTTTGCCAGCATTTCAGGGTAACGTTGAGAGCCACATCCCACTCCAACCACCCAGGGCTTACAGTGGCAGCTTGGAGAGTGGAAGGTATGTAGGAGCCAAATGTTTTGATAAGATTAAAAGGGCACCAGACAATGGAGTTAGAGCGCACTCACGCTATCCTGGTTGCGGGGACTGAAGTGGAATTGGAGAAAGGGATCAAGCTGCTACCAGAGACACAGAATGGTTTCAGGATGATACATCTATACAATGGCCTCCTAACGTATGTCTCCATAATTTATTAAATCTACATATGGGTAAACCAAGGTGCAGAGAGCCTTCAACATCAAACATCAAAGCATTCGTATGATGGTACCTAGAGTACTACTGAAGTTCTTACGAGGCGCCAAGTTAGCACACTTTTCAGCAGTGCTGTGAATCGCACCAGGTGTGAAAGCATTTCACATTTGAGCAGGAAACCTGGACAACGTAGCCTGAAAAGCAACGCTGCTCACTCAGTGGATCTAGGGAGAGTCAGAAATAGAGCCCAGATGGTCTTCCAGTCCAATGCTTAGTCTATGAAACCTCAGCACTCACAGTTTCGCATAAAAATAGGACAAAAGCTCAAAGCCTACAGATGTTTGACTCACTGAATCACTAGCACAGCGTAGGAGAAAAATCATAAAGGAAAAGGCAACAGAAAATAACCCAACCTGAAAGATTGAGGGGAAAAAAAACCATCTACTTCCTAACTGCAGTCCA